ACCCTGGCATGAAAACAAAACAAAAAGGGAGAATTTCATCTCAACAAATAAACAAGGTATGGTGGTGCAATGTTCCAGCCTACCTAAAGGTGTGGTTTGGCAGTGGAGTACTTGAAACATAAGATCCTAAATTCAAACACCGGTACCACCAAAGAAAAGCAAATCTAAAGCTTGTCAGAATTCAAGACCTTTCACTAACTGGGGGTGTGGGGAGGAGGGGGAGGAAGGGGTGGGAGAGATAAGAATATCGACCATCAGACAATACCTTTTTAAAAAAAGTGCACAAGGAACACTTAGTAAAGTGATTTATTTTGTGGGCCATAAAACAAGATAATTTACTTATGTGTAGGGAGGCGGTTGAGAGTTGATTCAATGGCTTAACATTAAGACAAAGTAATTTAAAAGGAATAAAATCAAAGTATGTTCCTTAACTGCAGCTTAATTACAAATTAGTAACAGAATTGTTTGAAAATTTCTAAATATTTAGATGTTAAATAACACACAAAACCTAAGTGAAAATTATGAAACATTTGAACTGAATGAAAATAGACTTCAAAACTTAACCAGACGAAAGCTGTGAGCAAAAAACCCAAGAGAAGTCAAACCCAGTACCGGCACAAAATTTGTGAGATGTAGTTAAAAGTAGTGTTTTAAAGAAATGCATAGCACCAAAGTGTATGTGTGTGTGGGCGGGGGGAGGGGGAGGGCGATCCAAAGTCAAAATAAGTGAAATATCACAAGCCAGGATACCATAAAGACAATTGCAAATCCATGCTCATTGCTGCACTATTCACAATAACACAATGACTGGAAACAGCCCAGATGTCCTACAACAGATAAGTGAATGCAAAAAATGTGGTACCTATACACAATGGAATTTTACACAGCCATTAGAAAGGATAGTATGTCATTTGCAGGGAAATTGGTGGACCTAGAACAAATGTTAAGTGAGGTAAGCCAAACTCAGAGACAAATGGTGCATGTTTTCTCTCAGAAGTTAGATTGAATATAAACTGGAACAGGCAAATTAAGTAGGACTCTGAACATTCACACAGTGACACCAAAGGAGGATATTCTTAGGAGTACAAAGGTGCAATGCCTATGTGTATCTGATCATATAAAATATTTACCAAAATGAACTCTAGGACATGGAAACAAGTTTTTTCTTTGTAGTTTATTTTTAATTTTCCTTTTGCCTTGTTCGTGTCTTTGAAAAAGGGTGGCTAGGAAATAGAGGGACAAAGAATAAACAAATGCAGCACTGACACTCACTAAACACTGTTGAAAATGAACCATACAAATTGTAGGTGGGAATGGGAGGGAAAAACTGGGAGGAAGGAGTGGCATTGTCCACTGACTACCTGACTTTATAAACTGTAAACCCTCTGTATTATCGCCTTTATAATAACAAAAAAGTTTTCAAGTTGTCCCGTATTCCCATAACAAACATTCAATGTGTCAGGTAACTGTAGGCAAATACCTACATAACTAATTCTATTTACCACCTCTCACTAGGCACTATAGCTATATTATAGTATACTTTCTAAGAGACTTTTTTTCAGTGAATCTTAGGATGTTTTTCTACGGTTAAAAAAAAAAAGAGGGCTGGGAAGGTGGCTCAGTGGTAGAGTGCTTGTCTTGCATGCATGAGGCTCTGGGTTCGATTCCTCAGCACCACAGAAGCAGAAAAAGCCGGAAGTGGCGCTGTGGCTCAAGTGGTAGAGTGCTTGCCTTGAGCTGAAGAGCTGAGGGACAGTGCCCAGGCCCAGAGTTCAAGCCCAGGACAAGAAAGAAAGAAAGAAAGAAAGAAAGGAAGGAAGGAAGGAAGGAAGGAAGGAAAAAAGAGAAAGAAAGAGCAAGCCAGGCGTTGGTGGCTCATGCCTGTAATCTTAGCTGATCGAGAGGCTGAGATCTGAGGATCGCAGTTCAAAGCAAGCCAGGGCAGGAAAGTCCATGGTTTATCTCCAATAAACCACACAGAAAACCAGAAGTGGTGCTGTGGCTCAAGTGGTAGAGCACTAGCCTTGAGCTGAAATGCTGGAGGGACAATGCTCAGGCCCAGGGTTCAAGCCCATGACCACACACACACACACACACACAAAAAACAATTATAAAAATTACATGTACTATAAAATTGTGACCAAATAATCTTTTAAAGATTATTGGATGGGTATTCTATTAAGTCACACAATTCTAAACTTATCCCAACAGGTAATTTTCAAAAAAGAGGTATTTTTGATTAACAGGCTCTCAGTTGATGATAACTATATCAAGTATTTAAGCCCGCTGACCAAAGGGATAACTATACTTCCAAAAAATGGAGGAAGGCATTCATTCCACTTTTCTGTTTTAAGACATGGAGACTATTTTTTCTGCACAAACATCCTAGGAGGCTGATTCCATGAGCAAAAGGGAAGCTCAGAGAACAACTGTCATTTACTAGAACACTATGAAAAAAATGTTCAATGTGAAAAGCAGTAACCCCAATTTTGGTAATAATTTTGAACCCTAGAAGAGCCCAACACCACCTTGCAGTTATAAAAGAAAGTTGAGAAATGCAAATTAATGTGTCACAAACATGAAATTTTAAGATTTCAAGATTCTTATTTTATTAAAAATATAGCAAAATAATAGCATCATTTGATAAAATTGTATCATAAAAACATTTAAAAACAATCCTACTCCCATAAATATAGACCCAAACTCTTACCTGGATAATCTGTGGTTCTGTTCTATTAAACTATACAAGACTAGGACAGCTTTTTTAAACTATTAAATTTATCTATATATATATGCTCCACATTATATTCAAGTTTAATGTTGGTGGCAATTAGGAGTTCTCTAGATTATTCCTATAAAATATGTTGCCCCCCCAATACCTTTAAACTGGTAGAAACCAATCTCTATTCTTTATGTGTAATTTTCACAGACTTGAACTAATGTAGTTAATTACCTAGCAAACAAAAACTAATCAAGAAACTACTACTCCATTCCAAGATCTGGTCTCCCCAAAACTGCTAATTTTCCAAATTAAAATGTATTTGCATTTAAGCTTTAAATATCAGGCAACAAATAAAAAACCCATCTTAAAAATACTAGAAAACGGGCTGGGAAGGTGGCTCAGTGGTAGAGCACTTGCCTTGCATGCTCAAGGCCCTGGGTTCGATTCCTCAGCACCACATAAGCAAAAAGAAAAAA